TAGCAATGATATTAGGAATTCATTTACAAAACAAGTTTTATTCCGGCTGGGTGCAGTGGTGCACACCTCTAAGTCCAGCTATTTGGGAAGCAGAAGGATCATCTGAGCCCAGGAGTTCCAGGCCAGCCTGGGCAATATAATGAACATCTGCCCCCGCAAAATAAAATCAAGTCAAAAATTAAAAAGTTTTGTTCCTTTTGACAACTCCAACAAGGGCAGAAATTGCCCAGATGTTAGATACAACTGGATGAGGACATCTATGAACCTTAGACTCTCACAATCCAGAGATTCTCAATCCAAAAACTTAACAAGGATCCAGGAACTTAATTCTTTCAGGCACCATGTTTAAATGTTGAGTGATTCCATAGGTAAAATAAAACTAACTCTCACTGGGTTCCCCCAAGTTTTCCTCCCCAAGTTCTCAGGATGAACATTCTGGGGTATTTCACCTACAGAAGGCAGGACTGTACTCGGAGTGGTAGGGCCGGGGGAAGACAGATGAAGTTGAGTTCCTTCAGTTTCCAAAGACCAACAAAGTGTTAAAAAAACAAAAGAGAAAATGTCACATTAAGAAAAGGAAAATCAAACTGCCATGATTTATTTCACTTTTTTCTTCACAGAAAATACAATATGTTATGTAAACACTGACACATGAAATAAAGTAGAAGGATCAGGAAGACAGTGAATCAGCGAATACTCCTGCGTCAACACGATGCTGTCTCCTGATTTCATTTGCAGCATGAATCACATGGTTATACAGATTTGAAAAATTAAAGGCAATATTCAGATTTATGGACACACGAGCGAGTCTCTGAAATCCAACAAGCCGCACAGAACTCAGATCTTTCTGTTGCAAAAAAAATGAAAGCTGGGAACACGTGCATTTATCCATTTACCCAAGACATTTAATGTAGAAGCGTAAGAATGGATTAACACATGAGCTTTAATATGCCTGTGGAGGCACAGATTAAATTGGGCCTCTTTTCTCTCTTCAGAGAAAATAAAATTAAGCAAATTAAAAGCAGAGCTGCCTGAGACTGGCCAGAAGATTACATAATCACAGTGAATTCTTACTTCAGGAAACGCAACACACAATACACGATTGCCGCCAGCGCTTTGCCCAAATAGTCACCCCAGGTCTCATGCTGTAGAATTACACAAGGTTTTCAAGGTTCTTTCCCGGAATTCCAAACGCTGAGAAATGACCCAAATACATGGCTGGGGTCAAGAACCATCATGGTTTAAAACAAAGAGTGTTTCTGAACTTGAATTCTGTAATTCAGAGTGTGGGCTGCAATTTTCTGTGATTATCCCGAGAGATTGAAATGACCTGTCTTCTTTCTTATCAGATGGCACCTACCAGGTGAGAGGTAAATTTTGATGATGGCTGCCTACGGTCCCGACTGGTTCAGTAATGGTACTCAGTGTCACGATATTTGGGGTTCAGATAAAACTGCTTTAGAAGTAGAGATCAGAGATCCCCGGATTTGCAAGTGCATGCACTCTCTCACTCAGCCCATCATCAAAAGCTCTTAGGAATAATCTGAAGCTTCTCAATCCTTGATACCCAACAACCTGTGGATACCCAGACCCTGGATGCAGCAAACACAGCAGACGGCTCATACTCAACATCAACTCCAGCAAGGAGAAGCGCCACTCTGAACAGGGATTCTGAATCCTTTGCCAGGCAAAGGCAGCCTCCCTATGTTGCTAAGAGATGGGAATTCTTTAATGTGTTTATAAAATATCACATGAGAACACCGTCACAAAAACTATTCATTTCTCAGTCCCTTACCTACAACCTGTGGCACAGTGTTCTGCAATTATTTTATTTTATTTTATTTTATTTTTTTGTGCTCTCACTAACAAGATACATAAAACAAAGAGAACCAAAATCAGGTTTTAAGAGGAATAGGAATTGCTATTTTCAAGGAATCCCTGTATTAGTTCTGGCCCTTTTTTGTGCTATTTTATAATTAAATTCTTGCTCAGAAGACCTATTTTTTTTTAAACAAGCAAGATGACAAAACATCTATTTTGTACTGCTTCGATTAGAAAAAACCCACTTGTCATGGACCTCCATTACTGGACTCCTTTCTCTACCCCTGCAAAAAGTAGAGGGCCCCAGCTCCCATGACAGACAGTAACATAGTACTATAAGTAATGCAAGATGTTTCACTTAGAATTCTCTGCCCTGTATCCAGATCCAACGTGCTAATCTTGCTCTGTCACCCAGGCTGGAGTGTAGTAGCAAGATCACAGTTCACTGCAGCCTTAAACTCTGGCCTCAGGCAATCCTCCTGGATCAGCCTCCCAAGTAGCTGGAACCATAGGCACATGACACCATGCCTGCTAATTTGGTGGGGCTTTGCTATGTTGTTGACACAGGCTGGTCTCAAACACCTGACCTCAAGCAATCTCTTGCCTCAGCCTCCCAAATCACCAGGATTATAGGCATCAGACACTGCGCCCAGCTGCTAGAGAGCTTTAAAGCAAGTGGCACCTCCGTCTATCTTCACTCACTCTCCAGTTATCTTTCTATACTGTCTAGACCAGTGGTTCTCAACCTGTGGGTCGCGACCCCTTTGAGGGTCGAACGACTCTTTCACAGGGGTCACCTAAGACTATCCTGCATATCAGGTATTTTAATTACAATTCATAACAGTAGCAAAATTACAGTTATGAAGTAGCAATGAAAATAATTTTATGCTTAGGGGTCAGCACAACATGAGGAACTGTATTAAAGGGTTGCGGCATTAGGAAGGGTGAGAACCACGGGTCATGTGCAACCCCGGCTGCATGCTGATTTTGTGAGGACCTTTTTGCTTATCTGTAGTGTCAGATATCATGAAAAGCATGCACAGACGTTTGTGCGCATCAGCTTTCATTAGTGTTTTTGTATTTAATGTGTGGCCTGAGATAACTCTTATCTTCCAATGTTTAGCAGGAAAAAAAAAAAAAGGTTGAACACTTCTGGTCTAGACCTATTACCTCTCCAGGGCTTCAGCTTTGTCTCAGATATTCCTTTAGAGGGGATGGCAAAGAGGAACTTTTTATATGGTGACTAGCCATTTCTTCTGTTAGAGCCTCTTTTCTCCTCTCTTGGGATTGGTTCCTATTAAAGTCCTTCTGTCTGAAAAATAAAAGATGGAAATTCTCAAAAATAGAATCATTCTATTTGCAGACACTAGAAACAATTACTCTTAGGAAATAAGGCACCTTTACTGTGACCACCAGATGGATTAAGAGTAGTGCTGATGGCTCGGCGCCTATAGCTCAACCGGCTAAGGCGCCAGCCACGTACACCTAAGGTGGCGGG